CTAGCCTTCATCTTACAGCCTACTAATTTTAGTCCCAAGCTAGACTTCATCTTATAGCCTGCTAACTTTAGTCCCAAGCTAGCCTTCATCTTACAGCCTGCTAACTTTAGTCCCAAGCTAGCCTTCATCTTACATTCTGCTAACTTTAGTCCCAAGCTAGACTTCAACTTACAGCCTGCTAACTTTAGTCCCAAGCTAGCCTTCATCTTACGTTCTGCTAACTTTAGTCCCAAGCTAGACTTCACCTTACAGCCTGCTAATGCTAGTCCCAAGCTAGCCTTCATCTTACAGCCTACTAATTTTAGTCCCAAGCTAGACTTCATCTTACAGCCTGCTAACTTTAGTCCCAAACTAGCCTTCATCTTACAGCCTGCTAACTTTAGTCCCAAGCTAGCCTTCATCTTACATTCTGCTAACTTTAGTCCCAAGCTAGCCTTCATCTTACATTCTGCTAACTTTAGTCCCAAGCTAGACTTCAACTTACGGCCTGCTAACTTTAGTCCCTAGCTAGACTTCATCTTACAGTCTGCTAACTTTAGTCCCAAGCTAGCCTTCATCTTACAGCCTGCTAACTTTAGTCCCAAGCTAGACTTCATCTTACAGCCTGCTAACTTTATTCCTAAGCTAGACTTCATCTTACAGCCTGCAAACTTTAGTCCCAAGCTAGACTTCACCTTACAGCCCGCTTACTTTAGTCCCAAGCTAGCCTTCATCTTACAGCCTGCTAACTTTAGTCCCAAGCTAGACTTCATCTTACAGCTTGCTAACTTTATTCCTAAGCTAGACTTCACCTTACAGCCCGCTTACTTTAGTCCCAAGCTAGCCTTCATCTTACAGCCCACTAACTTTAGTCCCAAGCGAGCCTTCATCTTACAGCCTTCTAACTTTTGTCCTAACTTAAGAAAAACTCCTAGTTCACAAACTGTGAATGTGGAATTATTCCTTCAATATACATATTACACTTCCAAGTTTGGGAGTGTCAAAAGTAATACCATGGGTCATAATTCTCAGAATATTTTAACAGTAAATACATGTATGTGTATGTAGATGACTGACACAGTTCTACAACTTTAGTACTTATTGTATGTACATATACTGACAGTTCTACTGCTTTAGTACTTACTGTATGTACATGTATTGACACAGTTATACAACTTTAGTACTTACTGTATGTACATGCACTGACACAGTTCTACACCTTTAGTACTTACTGTATGTACATATACTGACAGTTCTACTGCTTTAGTACTTACTGTATGTACATGTACTGACACAGTTCTACAACTTTAGTACTTACTGTATGTACATGCACTGACACAGTTCTACAACTTTAGTACTTACTGTATGTACATGTACTGACACAGTTCTACAACTTTAGTACTTACTGTATGTACAGTATACCCTCACCTGTTCGCGGTTCCCCATTCGCGGCCCCGCATATTCGCGGGTTAGGCTCTTAACCCTATCGCATCGTATGCCGGTATACCGGGCTAGCGTCATAACGTCATAAAAACGAATGCTCGGTAAACCGGGTTTTTGTAGGTCATAGAGACTAAAAGCGCTTTTCGAGGGTATGTCTGTATTTACTCTCTCGAGCAGTTTTATCGATTGACGTCTTCATCGAACAATGGGCTGGGCTGCTATTGGCTGACTGCCTCATCTTCCCCCACAACGCAAACGGCAAAGCACAGCCGGTAACGCACACACACACAGCGCTCAGTCCCGAGGAGGCTAGGAAATAGGTTTGAATTTAGCCAATGGCTGACAGCTTTAGTTACTCCTTCTTGCTGATTGGCTGCATACGCGTGCTGCTGATCAGCTGTTTCTCTCTCTCTCTCTCATTCGTGCGTGAGTTTTCAACCTGGTTGTTTGGGCTGTAAATTCAAGTGTTTATTTTTACAATGTTATTTACACCCTACAATGCCATTCAAACGCCCTACACCTCCAGCTTCTGGCAAGGAACCTAAGTGCCAGAAAAAGGTTATGACCCTGCATGAGAAGGTACAACTGCTTGATATGATAAAGGAAGGAAAAGGTTATGCTTCTGTAGGACACCATTACGGAGTGAATGAGAGCACCGTGCGTTACATAAAGAAAAATGAACAAGCAATCAGAGCTAGTGTAGATACGAATTTTTGTGGAAGTGCTAAGATGGTGAATGTTGTAAGAAACAAGGCAATCGTGAGGATGGAATCTGCCTTATCATTGTGGGGAATGATCTTGGTGTCCAAAGGGATATTTTTCTTTCGCAAGTCTTGTATAAAAGAAGGCATTGAAATTATATTCTCAATTCACTGAAGGACAAACAGGACCATCAACAGCAGCTGATGCCAAAGAATTTCATGCTAGCAAGGGTTGGTTCGATCGTTTCCTGAAACGTTACCAACTACGATTTGGAAAATCCCATGGAGAAGCTGCATCTGCAGACACAGAAGCTGCAGCAAAGTATCCTGAGGCCTTTAAGAAACTCATTGGGGAGAAGGGATACAAGCCAGAGCAGGTCTTCAACATGGACGAGACTGGGTTGTTCTGGAAAAAAATGCCTCTAACGGACGAAGATTTGGCAGAGTTGACGAAATCTACCAGTGAAGAAGAAACAGAGGGCCAGGAAGAACCATCACAAGAGGAAGAAAACGAGGACGAGGGTCTAACTCTAGAACGGTTGGCTGAACTCATGTCAAAAGCAAAGGATTTGCAAGAGACTGCCAAGTCATGGGACCCTTACATGGTTCGTTCGCTGCAATTCTCAAATGCAGTTGACTCTTCCATGTCGACCTACAAAACTCTATTCATCACTATGAAAAACAACGGAACCAGCTGCCAATAACCATGTTCCTAAAGAAGGTACCCAAAACGTCAAACCAAGCCACACCCGAAGAAAGTACGACACCTCCTCCTGACTCTCCTAAGGAAACAACACAACCTTTTGACTATCCTGAAGAAATGGAGCTTTCTCCTTAAGTGCCTGAAGAGGAGGAGTAATTACCTAAAGTGCTGTAAAGCTGTGCCATACTGTACATTAGTGTTATCATCATCATCGTATGGCACAGCAAATTTCATTATCATTTTATTATCATTCATTATTGGTGAGTGCACAAACAATATTAAATTTTTTTCAATTATTATTGCAATACAGTACGTATTTTTTTATAACTGCATACACTGTATGTACAGTGCATATTTTTTGTGACCGTGTATTAATAATGTTTTTAATTGCATATTATTACTGGATTGTACTGTACTGTATTATTATTATTACCTGAACTGTGCGTGCTGTATTTATCTGTCTAAGTTTGCCTTTAAATTTGTTTCATTTTCTGTCGATTCTAATACATAT